ATTGTTCTGATATGTGCACACTACATTGTTAAAAACACTCAAATTTTAAATTCAGAATGAAACTAGAATAACTGCGCTAAAAAATTTCTAAAAACTGAAAAAGTTTTTTAGAGGCAGTTTGTGAACGGCGATGCGAGAATGTACGAGGAGGAACAGCGTCGCACAGCAGCTAAGCAGCACTCAACCAGACTTCTCACTCCTCCTCCAGCCAAGAAGCAACAGCTGCATACAACACACTCACAGCAAGAGGTTAATCCTGGCAACAGTACTTGATTTAAAAAACTTTTCTTGGCTCTTTTAGCAATTTCGATTACGCGGGATTACCAATTTGGTCAGAGCGTAAAAAATTTGTTTTCTCATATTTTCAGTGATTTCGTTTCTCTCAGGAAATTAATATGTATTCTAAATTTATCACTATAGGGAAAAACTCTGTGCTTAACCAGAGCTTACTAAAAACACCCTTTTCCTATCTGTGTCTCTTAGATGTTACAAAAATCTTGTCGGTTCTACTATACACAGTCAGGTTGCTTTTAACTGCTTATCTCATTTTATTGTGCTTGTGTTTGCGCATGTTTTTTCCGCTGCAGAGTAATTTTTTTTTCTAACACTGCACACTTGAAAGATCCCACTTGAGAGTTTCTTTCGAAATGATATCTTTCTGGCATGACTTTTTTCGATCACTTTTACTCTGTTTTTGATTTTTTTTTTTTGGCTCTTTATAATTTTACATGCGGTGCCCGTCATTAAATTTCATTCACCGTTAAACGGGAGACGGAAAGAAAGAGAGAAAATGAACTATTCGCATAATTGCAAAATAAGAAAGTCGTGTCGCATTGCAGTAAAACTGTTAGATTGAGATTTTCAGCTTCTTGGGCACGAATCAATAACTTCATCCTTCCTCACCTATTTGCTTGTTATCAGGATGGTAACCCTCACGAGCAACCGAACTCCCTTCAGTAATTGTTCAGCAGCTTCTCGCCACTCTGCACTACGCCACTGGTAGACTTACTGGAAAACAGAGAGAGCAGAAAGCAAGCGATGGATGGGTTGAAGTGGAGGAAGCATTTTTACTAACGATTTGATGTTGTTGTTGTTGTGGCTGATCAATGAATTGCCGGAAGCTTACACCACTGAGCCAGCTCTCAAGCATTCCTCCATAATTTTCAGCCTTTGCTTGTCTACAGCAACCTCCTGAAACCACGGTTTTCAACTGATTACTGTCGCTGCTGTTCATATCTCTTTTACGAATCCTAATTTTGTCCAGCTGCTTTTCAAATCCCGGCCGCAAGTTCGCCTCTGGAAACGCTCCTGTTTTTTATGTATAAAGTTACTGAATACAAAAAGCACACATTCAGAAAGGTTACTAGATATGAGGTAGACCTTTCATTTTTTGCACCGTCCTTGATGAAATAAATTCTAAGGGCTTATTCTTTGTTGCACTAGTGGTTAACGACAAGGAAATCCGGAACAGCTGTGCTGAATCTGAAGATACATCTTGTCATTCAGTTTAAAGCAATGAGTTTTGCAAAAATTCTTGGTAATTGACTCGGTTTACCCAGTGCTCCAAAATGCAAACAGAATGGAAGAGAACCAGAACAGTGCTTCATATCAGAAAAACGATCCCAAGGGCGGCTGCAGCTATTGTCCAATATATTTATCACTACAAATATGCAGGACGCACGTGATATAGGCCAATTCAAAATTACTGTCGATAAAAACTCGAAAAGAGAAAAAGCAGTCTTTTAAAAGGCGGTTTTCTACTGTCGACCACATTTTTACAGTAATACGTTTGGGAGATGGAAGAAATACAAAAATCGCGCTATTCAGTGGAACACAATGGCGCACTGCAAAATCTCTGTTTTTGGTGAACATATGAAGAAAAAACTGAGGGAGGCGTGAAGCAAGGCGACATTTATTTTCCGAAATTCTTTACTAGCGTCTTTAGGAAAACTGAAACAAGGGGGAGGTTTTGCATTGTCTGTGCATTTGGGAAAATATGGATGAATAACTCAAACAGGGTTTGAAGCTAAGGAGAAGTGTGAGTTGGACAGCTTCTACCACGTTATGAAACACCTCTACTGTGGGATTGAAGGTAGCGCTTCATAGTAGATTATACATTTAGCGGTGCAGTAAAATAAGGAATATCGTGCTTGTTGAGGAAGAAAAGTTGCTGTCGATCTGGTGAGTTGTGGAACGGCGCTGCTAGGTATCAGCAATTTGAAGTACAACAGTTCCATCTTGGTGCAAACGGTATGCGCCTCGGGGCAATTTCT